TGCGACACAAGACTCAGTAAATATTAATCGATCTATTTGGGATAAAGATGTGGCTTACGCCATATCTAGTCTGAGTAAGAGATTGCCTGACAAAACTCGATCAAAGTAGGCCTCCATTGCAACGTGTTGCTATGCGATACAGTACTCAGTAAGCAATAATCAACTTATTTGAGATTAAGATGCGCCTTACGCCATTCTAATCCGAGTAAGAGATTGCCTGACAAAACTCTGCCAAAGCAGGCTTCCATTGCAATAAGTTGGTATGCGATATAGGACTCAGTAAATACTAGACTTGAGAGTTTTGGGTGTAAAGGTGCGGCTTACGCCATGTCTAGTCGAAGTCGCTTTTCTCATAGTCTTACAAGAGTATCTACGACCAGGCTAGTCTTAGCTATTGTTAGTAAAATTTTGGACTCTGGACTCGTGGAGAACTTGTGAGCACCGCTATTACTTGCTTAAATACAGTGCTCAGACAATACTTGGATTCTACCTAGTGGAAATACTTGGACAGACCATCACATCTGATAGGGTAGTGTAATAAAATTGCAACGGCAGTATCTTCTCTGTCATCTACTTGTTGGGCCATTTAACAGGCGTATTGAAACGGACTTGAAGAGCTTATAAAGGAATTTTTTCTTCAAGATAAACATTTTTGTTGTGTTTGCGTTCAAAGTCAGGCAGAATTTTCCCAATTTGGTTTACTTATACTCGTTTTGATCTCTCCAATCTGATCTTGGGTAAATTTTCGCTAATTTAGTAACCATGAACATCGAATCTAATCTTGATAAAATTATCAATTTAATCTGATTGATGATTAATTAGGATTCATAATTAAGCAATCTAGTTCACTATAGCACTTGATAATATTAAATTATTTCTGATAAATTAAGCTTATTGAGGATTACATACGATACGATTCATTATCAACAGTCTAGTTGCATTTGATTCTTTCTGATAAGTTAATTTAAGCATATTGAGGATTAATTACGATATGATTCATTATCGACAGTCTAGTTAACTGTGGCATTTGATTCTTTCTGATAAGTTAATCTAAGCATATTGAGGTTTAATTACCGTGCGATTCATTATCAACAGTCTAGTTAACTGTGGCATTTGATTCTTTCTGATAAGTTAATCTTGTTGATAATTTATTACAATTCTTCATTAAACATTCTAATTAATTGTTGAACTTGATTGTATTTGATTATTTCTGATAAGTTCATTAAGCTTATTGATGATTAATTACGATTCATATATATTTTTATTAAACCAGTCTAGACTCTAGCTAATTGCTACTTTTGATTAATCTCGCTGATGATCAATTACGATCCTTTATTAAACAGTCTAGTTAACTATTGCATTTGATTTATTTGATTATTTCTGATAAGTTAAGCTTGTTGATAATTGATGACGATTCTTTATTAAACACTCTAGCTAACTGTTGCATTTTGATTATTTCTAATAAGTCAATCTCGTTGATGATCGATTACGATTCTTTATTAAACAGACTAATCAATTGTTGCGCTTGATTATTTTCTGATAAGCTTCGATCTGATAACATAGTGATAGCACCTGAAAAGATATTGAGTTTATACAAGCTTATGCTTTTATCATAGCTTTTTATAGATTTAATTTTATATTTATCTCTTCCTCGCACCATCACACTCACAAAAAAAAATCAGGTTTGCATTCTATAATACTCCAACACACTATACGTAAAAATGTTTCATCATCGGATTAGATTCAATAACTATCATTTTCTTTTATACCGTTGCACCTTAGCACACGCTGTATTCTATAATACTCTAATACACTATATGTAAAGATGTTCCATCACAGATTAGACTCGATTACTATCGTTTTCTTTATATCCTTGCACCATAGCACATACACAAAAAATAGCTATACCAGATTTGTATTTTACATTATTGACACATCAGATTTGTATTTTACATTATTGACACATCACATAGAAAGATGTTGCATCATCGGATTAGATCTAATTGCTATCGTTTGCTTTTATGTGTCTATTTCTTACATTATAACACACTCACACACAAAAAAAATACCTGCTCCAGATTTGTATTCTATCATACTCTAATACACTATATTTGAGGATATTCCATCATCGGATTAGATCCAACTGCTATCGCTTTCTTTCTTGTCGTTAATCGCTCGCATCATAACACATACAAAAAATAACTATACTAGTTTTGCATCCTATAATACTCCAATTCATCATTTATGAAGATGTTCCATCGTCGAATTAGATCCAATTGCTGTTATTTTCTTTCTTGTTGTCTATCCCTTGCACCATAAAACACACGAAAAATAACTGTACTAGATTTGCATTCTACAATATTTCAACTCGTCTTACTGTATATAAAGATACTCTATCATCGGATTGAATCCAATTGCTATCGCTTTCTTTTTTGTTGTCTCACCAACGCTTTAGAATTAAGCTGGTAATCATCAGTAAACTGTATATCTCATCTTTCTACAAAACCTACAGCTAATCGACCACACGAACTCCTCATTAGTGAATCGTAGTAATAGCTTAAACGGTTTGCGAATGATCAAAGAATGAAATAGACTTTCCGTGAATATAATCAACAACTGCATCATAGTCTAACGGTGATTTAAAATCTGCAATTACTGTAAGAAATTTGCATATTATCGCGTTTTATATGCTTTAGAAAATCATAATTATCTTTTAAAAATGACGTATTTAATAGTGATAGCGATTACGGTATGATGTGGTAAATAGATTCAAATCTTAACGTAACATTTACCCTACAATTACGATTTCTTAAAAAAATTATATTACTCGTATAAACATCAAGACTGGAAGTAAACCTATTGCTGACAATTTCTTCAATTCTAGCAGTTGCTGATTGTAAAGTTAGTGCTGATAGTCGGTATTCAGTCTCGTTGGAGAGCTGAATAAGCACCGTACTAGTGTTCAATGTCGAATGCTACGACTGTAAAAGACCGAAAATGAATTAATAAATCATTACTAGAAGAAATAGAAATTGGCTTTAACAATATTTTACTTTATAAGGGTTACACAGTTTAAGTTTCCGGTAATTGAAGATGTATCCTCGTATACCATCACTTTATTTGGCCTATTCATTTGCACTCCATTTTCTGACATATATTATTGTCTTAATTCGTATTGTTATTCGGTATATAGCTTATCCAGTGACTAATTTTCACCTCTTTCCTTTCATCATTTTAGGCAAATCAATATGGATCCATGGTAAGAACACATCAAATAGTGATTAATTAACTAATAAATGCACTCTATCATTAGAAATAAACATTTCGGATTTTAAAGTCGATGTTTACGGCTAAATGATCTTTCTAACCACCATCGTTTCGTTGATTACTCGATAATAAACTTGTCTTTCAATGATATAGTCAAGGTAACGAATGTCCTATGATGACACAATGCTGTGGCCCTCACAAGTGCTGCTTTATATTAGCCAAAGCAGTGTATTTCTGGTAAGTTATCCAATTTCAATTTAAAGTTTCTACACTTATTATTATCGTTAGCTAATTCATAAAAACAGATTGTTCTAGTGATATCCATGACTGCAGCATAATCGAATGTTTTCGTATCAGACAAACATGTAATAATAATATCGAATTTTTGGATATTAATGACCATAATTAGGGGATGCTTGGGATTCTTGGTACTCATGTTTTTTGGGTTGATGGCTTGTATAATTCTGCGACGAATGCAACGCCAAGAACCTCAATACATTATCCTACAAGCCGATGCATTACCTGGGTTGCTGGAGAAAGCTGGATTACCTTCAAAGGGCGATGTTCACGTTTGCCCTCCACCTTATAAATCGTAGAGTAGCCAAATAGCACCGTTTGCTGACATAATCTTATTAAAATTAATATCGAAGCTATTCTAGTCCATGACATATGCAATTGCGTATTGACGTTGCCTATTTTGCAGTATGATAGCATTTTATCAATAGAATTTCCTAGTCAATTTTCGTTCATTATAGAGCGCACAGTTAGGAAATCGAAGCTAATATCTTGAATGATAAAATCTAGTAATTGATTAAGTCTATCCTACATAAATGTTCATACTATAGTCAGCTACAGCAATATAAGTATCTGTATGAAAAAAGATGTTTTTTATGATAGCATTTTTGGTTCATAAACAACGCTCTGCATTGAGCGTATTTTAGTGTTGCAAATGCCTGTGGTACAGGTATATTGAAACGAAATAAAGCTAGTTTTAGTTATAGCATTCATTTGTGTATTTTGTGCTGCTATTTTTAATAACTTGAACATACGTACGTGTACATTGGAGGTTAACTCTAACCTACCTTCGTATATGGGAAAGTAAAATACAATTTAGTAATTATTAAGAAATGCTAATATAAAATACCATTGTAAATCATATCCGGGCAATTAATTTTCATTCTTAAAAGTAGATAACCAATTGCCTTTTGCCCTGTACAGATTCTAAAACTTGAAAGCAATATACCTTATCATATTTGTATAGACTACAGTGTAGCCAAACCGTACTCGAATCATCACACAAGATTAATTTTAAAGTTAACAAGAGTGTTATAAATTTTTATTCAAAATAGAACGCTTTATCCACAACAGGCGTTGATGATAAGAATAATTAGAGAATCAAAATATAAATTGGATCCAATAGAATTCTATCTAAAGTAGCTTAAAAAGCCCCTAGTTATTTTGTATAAAGTAGATTTAATAATACAGTACCATAGGACAGCGGATAGCTTTCAGTTAATATCACTATTTATTATTCTCTTCAGCTGATAGCATTTCTATGTTATAATGTATGATACAAAATACTGTTACAACAGTACAATGAATTAGAAAAAACATCCAATATATTTCCATCTTAATCTATATAACAAATCTCATATGATCTATAAAAACAATTACGGTCGAAATGTTTCCATAAAATAAATAAAATCCTTCTAGCCTCATAAAGTTAACATGCATTATATAAAATACGAAGGATCTGGTAATCCTGGTTTAACACGACCTTGCTCGCTGTGATAGTAAACAGAGGGAATACCCGTTGCCCTACCACCACCGCGTACATTTCCATTCGTTCGAAGATTTCCATTCGTACGTGGGGGATTTTTATTTAGGTTAGAACGAATATTTCCATTTTGATGCTTTAGCCCTTTCAGTCTCATAGATGCGCGAACAACATTATCACGATAGTTTTGTACAATATCACGTTGAGTAAATTGGCGTGGACTTCGCACATTTCTCGGCTCTTCTAACATTGAAGGTATAGAACTATCAGTACTTTGAACGCTTTCGTTATCGTGACGTAAATGTTCTATACGATATGGAAACGATGACCGCTTTTGAGGCAATCGCTTTAATCGATCACGAAGATTGCTACCACGGCTGTTTCGACCTCGACCTCTAGATACATTAGCAAGAGTTGATTTTTTGCCCCTTAACGATTCCGTACGTTGCGGTGGAATCGGCAAAGGCTGATTGCGCTGTGGAATTGCACCAGTTACTCTTTCATCATCTAATTGATCGCCATCACTTTCAGATAGTGATGGAGAATCGTTGAAATGCGGTTGTCCATTACTACGTTGCATAATAGGTGGTTGATGAACGCCATTTGTTCTACCTCTCATTGGCATTCCTCTACCTCTCGGTGGAGGTGATTCTTGCCTATATAATGGATTCTCCCTTCCGTTAGGTACAACATTGGTATTTCTTCCACGCCTCGGTGGCGAGCGTGTCGGAGAACGTACTGGTGAACGAGGTACACCGCGAGTAGGTGAACGAGGAGGTGAACGAGGTGGTGAACGGGAAATTAAATGGCCACGAGGTGATTGTGGCAGCGAATCAGAAGCTATAGCATCACGAGATTGGCTAGATGGTGAGTGAGAAGTCAATAGACGATTTGGCCGACGAGAAGGTAATTCTGATAGGCTAGAAGGTGGTTGGTTAAAACGTGATCTTAACCGTTGAGGATCGTCGAATTCACTATCATCGTCAGTTGTTACAGTTGCTCTAGGAGCACTTAATTTCGTGATTGTAAAAGGCGGTGGATCAATTCGATTATTATTTACGGTTACTCTATTGCCATTACTGCCATTAGTGCCATTATTGCTATTGCTATACGATGGAGCAGTGGTCTGATTAGATACAAGAAATCCATTCGATCTTAAATGAGGAGGTAATTGATTTGAATGTTGTCCTTGTGATCGATTATTATAATTATTTACAGCATTGTTAGGTCTATCAACTTGACGTCTTGTCACAAAGAAACTACGATTCTGTTGATAGTCAGTTTCATCACCATCATCGTTTTCTTCAGAAGTTTCATCGATAACCAATTCATTGAAACGATTCATAGTAGTTCGTTGAATTAGTCCATTCTGGCGAACATCAATTGGGGGTCTCTGGTAATGATCGTCATCAGTCAATGGATGATGGCTCATAGACCGTTCATCTTCTTCATCACTAAATCCATCGTTGATATGAGACGGAAGTCCAGTTGAAGGTGGCCTAAAGTTATCAAGTAATCAATTTACTGTTAATAAGGAGCCGCAGTCAAGACGCAACAATAACTTAAATGTAGCTAACACTGTAAAATATCCATAGTATTCTCACCTAGAGGAAGGCATTTCGGATGGAATTGTACTTCTGATATCATAACCACTACCTTGATACGAACTTCTCGCTGTCAATGGAATCCCATTCATTGATCCATTTAAATCCATATCGCCAACTGGTCCTGTACGAACCTCAGATATTTGTGAATTTCTTGCCTCTGGATGTCTAAAGATTACTACAAATAGGATAGAAGTGTGATTAATACGAAAGTAAATAGCACTCTAAATACTCTTAGAATAGCTGCAATATGCAATATAGTATAAGCTATTAAAATCAGCTCTTGAATACCAGTATTTTTATTAGGTTCTGATTTTCCTCGCCAATATAATGTAGCAATTAACAAAATGAGGACAATTAAGCAGATCACAGCTATGATGACAATAAACCACCATTGTTGATAAAATTGCTGACTACCACTACCTACAATTTCAATAGAAAATGTATAATTATTACCATGAATAAGTGTTACAACCTTTAAGTATATTTTTAATACGTATAATAAAGTAGATTTAATGGAAAATAATGAGTGCTTCTCACTATTTCATAGGTAAAACTCTAAAAACAAGCATGGATGATATGATTAATAGTGGTACAGCTTGTAACTGTATTTACCCGTTATTGTTTCACCCTGTGCAATCCCAATCACAGATTTAATATAAGCTTTATCTGCACTTTTCACAATAAGTCTACATCGATATTTTGTGTTCAACTTTAAACCAGTTAGCTGAAATGATGTCGAAGCAACTGGAATTTCATTTGCGGCTGATATCCAATTGGAATTATTAGCTAAATGGTAAGTAAACAATATGCATTCAATATCTTATTACGTTAGCTAAAACTCATTAATTCTTGCAGATATCAGTACAAGAATATTGTTAAGATGTAGATAATTATATGTAGAATTTTATGTGCTCGTATTTCATTACCAACGTTTATACCATAGTTTATGCTTTGCTTTATACTATGCGTGTCCTAAAAATTGCTCTGACATACCTATGTCTTGATATTCGATATAGTTTGTCTGATTAGGCATTAGTCTTGGTATCGCTGGTGTCCACGTCAATGTAACGCTGCCAACTGATGTACCGCTGTATTGGAGACGCACTACAATAACAATTTTAAAAGATAAAAAATGATAGTAAATTTCTCATGTAGATCAATTTCTAGAAAATGGTAGTTTAATGGAGAAAAGTAAATATCTATAAAATTAATGATTGTAAAAGTATATCTACTTTACCATATTGATAAACATTAACAAAGTATTTGGTTAATTTCACTCCAAAGCCAATGCTATTCCTAGCTCGTATAGAAATAATAGAAGTACTATTCCATGACATAGCGATATTCAACCGACGTTGATTAGGGTCTGGCACGACTTGAGTATTTAGTTCTCGAGCGGTATTTAAACCAAATTGAACTTCATAACTTGTAATTTCACCATTGGGTCGATCAGGTGGTAACCATGTCACTGCAACAGTTGTCCGTTCGACATTATCGGCTGCAATGTCGAAAGGCGCTCCAGGTACTATAATATCAGGTTAAAAAATAAATCCAAAACGTACCAATACGATATTAGACATGCTAAATCATGCATATCATCGAATATTTACATAATTAATAGCTAGGGTAGTGCAGTAACTGCAATATCTATTGTGTTTTATGTACTGGCAATACAATATCAAATCAAAATAAATACGAGATATATTGTTCATTTAACTGAGCTATCACAGTTATTATTACATCCTTCATTACCTGACTGCGAAGTAGTAACTCGAACAGTGACGCTTGCAGGTCCTTCAAATCCATTAAAAGCCTTAACTAATACAGCATACTCAGCAAAACTCCTTAAATTGTTGATAGTGTATTGTGTAATGATAGAATTGGTGTTAACTTGCTTCTTTGTTGAATTATTCTGTACAAGCCAGAAGTCAATCTGTCGAATAAGAGCATAAAAGCGTTATAAAAATGATTAGAATAAGCAATTAGTTTTATAAATGTCGGAAAATACTCAAATCACTAACCAAATATCCCCTTAGTACTCCGTTATGCGTATTAGATGGTGGTGCTGTCCAACTTAGGGTTACGCTCGTAGCCGTTTTGGATACTATATTTAATTCAGTTGGGGCTGCTGATGGAGCTACAGAGCATTATAAAAGAATTAGTAATAATGAATTAATATAAATTATATAATAGGCTGATATTATATAATAGAAAAGCGATAAATAAATCTCCGGATAACGCGAAGCAAGAAATACTTTACCGGAAGCTTGAGTTTGAACAGTCACTTCATTGCTATAAGGCCCAGTACCATTACTGTTGTATGCGGCAACAGAGACCCCATAAGTAGAATATTGTAATAAACCTTGTATATAATAACGAAATGCTGTTGTATTTGCTGATTGAAGAACTGTGTAAACATTAGCATTATCGACAATTCGATATCGCAAGCGATAACCAAGTGGAACACCATTAAAGCCGGTTGTAGAAATGCCTGTCCACGTAACGAGGATAGTCGTTGAATTATCAACTTGCGCTAAAACGTTAGATGGAACCTGACTTGGCCAAGTTGGTAAAGTTTGTGCTTGGATTGAGCTACTCCAAAATCCATTATTATAATCATTAGTTGAAATAACTTGCAGAAAATAGCGGGTATTAGGCTGAAAACCACGTAGTATAAAACTTGTAGGGGATGGAGGAATGAGCTCATCCAAAACGAACCATGTACTTCCATCACTACTATAGCGAACTCTGTAATAACGGATTGGATAAGTACCTGCTGGATTATTCCATAACATAACAAATGATTGAGCTCCAATAGTCTCTGCCGGATATCGTATTGATTGAGCTAGAGCTGGGATTGCTACAATGTGATTGAAAATATGAATTAGATAAACTACCAAAGCAACATAAACTATTGAAATTGGAAAGTTATAACATAATAAGATAATGACGACCGCAACCGACTGAAGTCTTACAAAACTCTAGCTTACAATTTATATCGTACGCTTCATACTAATTACAGCAATTCAATCAGTGAAATCAATTACGAATTAATTAAAAAATTCGCTACAAAAATCCTTTCCCTTGGATAGTTCTAGTTCAATATTTGCTACATACATATTTCCATTAAATTATCTATGAATTTGCAGTACTTACATCCGATAGTAGATTCAGTTCTAACAATGTAGAAAAGACTACATCCCCATCCAGCAGCATTTTCTGCACAAACTTGGTATTTGTAATCACGCCGGGATAGCAAATTGTTATGACGAAAGTTAAATGTACTATTTCCAGCAATGTAAATATTTTGTAGCTGCGTGGCAGAATTAAGAGCAAAACCAATTCGAAATTGAAGAATTGGTTTATTAGGTCGGTATGGCATAACCCAATTAATTCGAAGAGAATTAGACGAAATCGAACTGAAGGTAATGCCTTGTGGAGCTGATGGAACTATGTTAACAAAAGAAATTATCAGTTAGGACCGCTATTACTTTCCTTATTTTATCTTATAAATCCTCTCTGGGTGTGTTATCACACATGAGGCTAAGCCAAAACAAGTGAATTGATAATTAATGTAATACCATGACATACTTAAGGGAGATACGTAGACGTAATTTGGTGGTGAACTTGCCGGACCGTCTCCTCGAGACGTATAGCCTAAAACTTGTACATAGTACGACCGCTCACTGACTAAACCACTTATTATTGTAGAAGTTGCTGTGGCGTTATTAACGTTTCTGATGGATATGCCAGCGACTATCTCTCGCCAATATCGAATCTGTTTAGTAATTAAGTAAGTTATCTGGGAACATACTCATCAATCGATTCACTAAATCAGATATTCTTGTAGTTAAAATACGTTCTGCTAAGCTAATTCATATCACAGAAAAGGTAATTACTAACACTCTATGACTAATTAGTCCATAACCAGGCACAGTTATTACTAAATTAAATACTATCATACCTTGTATCCCATAATAATACCACGTGCAGCACCATCAGGAATAAGCCCCCATTTCACTTCTATCGCAGTCGCATTAATTGACTTTGTTGTAATCGGAGATGGAGCCTGAGATGGAGCTCTTTCACGAGTACGAGCTATGATTTGACGACTAAATACTCCACCTCCACGGCTATTCCGCGCTTGAATTCGAATTTCATAGTCAGTATTAGTTAACAACTGACTAAATTGAAAGCTATCCTTTTCTGCACCATCTACGTTGACTGATTGCTCCAAAGTTGATCCACGCTGTTGATAAACGATAGTATAACCTAATAGTATACCATTCCAATGACTGCTTGGGGGTGCTTGCCACTTGATTAATAGGCTAGTATCTCGAATGGGGATAGCAACGACATTCTGAGGCGCTGCTGAAGGAACTAAAATCAATAATTAAATTGCATGATTCGGTTAATTTCTACTCTTGTAAAGCATAAAACGTTTGCCTATTTGTGCGTTAACAGATGCATAAAAGTATTTACCAATTGAACATAAATACGGTATGTCACCGCAAAAAGTTGATAGCATACTACAGAGATCACTATACAAGCTAGCTGTAGCCTTGCCACTATATAAGTTTTATATTTTTACAGACTCACTTGCTTCAAACGTCAAAATATAGGATGTAATCGGACTAGGGGTTTCTGAGCCCAAGGTATTGACGGCATAGACCCGAAATCGATAATAAGTATAAGGTGCTAAATTTGTAACCGTATATTGTGTCTCATTGGCACGCACATTAATTTGAGTCCAAGTACTTTCTGCTCGTTTATTATAAGTTAATTTATAATGGGATAGTAAACCAGATCCAGTTGAGATCGGGGGTGACCATGATAGTGAAACCGATGTTGCCGATTGTACAGTTGGACTAGGTCTACCAGGGGCTTCCGGCAGATCTAATAAAATTCGAAATGTACATTAGTACAAAGATTGAATTATGATATCACAGGTAAAAATAGAACTCAAAGAAAATGGGACATCAAAGCATAAACTCACTAATTGGCAGAGCTGTTGTGACACTTTGTTGAAACATTTTGCCAAATCCAACGCTTGTGCTTGCTGCTAATTGTATGCCATAATTAGTGTTAGCTTGTAACGAGCTAAGAGCTCCAGAAAACGTGGTGTTGGAATAAATTTGCCAAGTACTACAAGTGCTAGTGTTAAACAAGCATTGACGAAGTCTATAACTGATGATAATTCCATTCTGATCTATTGGAGTATTCCATGATAGTCGTATCGTTCGATCAGTAATTTCTAAAATTGTAACTCCTGAAGGAGTTCCTGGAACTAAATTTATTGCAATAAGTAAAGCATTTAGTATGGTACCATATACTTAATAGTATGATCAATCTATGGTTAACCTATAAAACACTGCTTAAATCGGTACTTAATGTTATATTATTAGCAGAACAAAATATTAAGTTAAATTTAAGTTATTAGCCATAATTTCTATAAAATGACTCACTGTCTTCTAAGGTTGTTGTACGAATAGACGAACTCCAAGGTGAAGGACCAGCACTATTATATGCTCGAACCGTCATTGTATAAGTAGTAAATTTATTTAAATTGGTAGCATTTCCACGCTGAATAATGGATGCGCTATCAGATGCTTGATCAAAATATCTTACAATATTGGTATTACTTGTCAATTGAGCTCGTATCTAATAAATTAACAAAATAAAGATATATGTAATCATTTAGTATAATAACGAAATAAATTAGAAGTATTAATTAACTACAATCTTTAGACTCTTTCGCTATATGTTAATGCCGAGCAAAAGATAATCTACACAAAAAGTTACGCTAATAGAATTAACCTGATATCGAATGATTGACCCATAAGTTTGAAACGGATCAGGTGGTTGCCAAGTTAGTGTTATAACACTTGACGTTACACTGTTTCCTCGAATTTGTTGTGGAGATGCCTGCGGATCTGTATAGAACATAAAACAAATTTAGAAATCGCAATTAAATCATCTTTACTTCTATGTCAACTTTTACATAGTATAAAAGTTTAAATTTGCACGTGATTAATTATTATACTTGATCCGAATACTTTTACCTATTTCTCGCGTCCTTTTCTCGTAAATTTGGCTGTATGGCCCGAAACCAATGCTATTATTGGCTCGAATTTTAATGGAATATGTTGTGTAAGGGCTTAAATTGTTTAAATCAGCTGTAGTGGTGCTACCACCAATATTAATCATTTCAAAATCGATACTTTGTACGCCACTTGGCTTGTAAGCTATATTGTAGCCTGCTATGGTGCCATATTGCTGATCGACCGGTGGGGGCTGCAAAGATTAAATTTAATTCAATTAGAATAATATACAATTTAAACATTTTATAAACATTTATACTATCGTAACTTATATTTTACAACTAGTACAAACTTTATTTCGTTTTAAGTTCAACTTACTTGCCACGATATTCTTAAGGTATTGCTAACTTGGAGAGCGACTATATTAATATTTTGTGGTGGAGCAGAAGGTTCTAGACGATTTAAGACGTATAGGTTATTTCGAGACGATTGATTAAGTATGGCTATAATAGATATTCTATAAGTGGTGTACAAACCTGCTTGTAAAGTTTCTACAGTGGTGAATGGGCTTTCACTTCCAGTTCCAACAATATTGGCAGCTTTAATGCGAAAGTAGTAAAATGTCTTGGGCCGTAAATTAGATATATTTACATTGTTATTGGATAAGGTTTGTAGGACAGTTGCCCATGAGGTGCTTGCTGTACGGTATTCGACAATATAAGTTGTTATAGGCGAATTGCCACTACTTAAAGGTGGATTCCATAATAATATTATCGATTTAGAACTGATTGCAGTAACAATCGGTTTAGTTGGTGGTGATGGTGGCGCTATAAATTGAATAAAACAGTTTAAAAATGGTTTATTAATCGACAATTTATTTTAAAAGCCATGAATCAAGAGCAACCATTAACGATGAATATAGATGTAAAAAAATTTTGGTAGTAACTATTGTAGCCTTAACAATTCACTGTCGCTAGCTTACTAGCTCGTTACGAGGTCAATTTCTTAATATTCAGTAACCAAAATGAACATTAACGACTAGGCTAAATAAAATAATCATGGTGCTAATAATTTCGACAACAATGAGTTCGCTAGCTCTATAGCATGCGTACTTTGATCGGAAAGTATGATTAGTAGTTATGCTAAATCTATAAATTTAACTGATATTATATTGAAAGAAGGGGATATTGTAGACTATACGCTGACATGATATAGTAGCATAGCTTATACAGATTACTGGTTAAAAAGAAAATTCACTTGATGTCTAGCATAAATGAGTATAAAAGGTAGATAATTAATTATTAAAGTGAAATGGTAATCGAAAATACTATAAGGTTAAAGAAACACCATGATTTACAACATGATATCAGCATCTTATTTTGGATATATTCTATCGCTGCGCAATCAGTCACATGTTTATAAAAAAAATACCAGCGATCCAAAAATTGTTATACGGTGGCATATTAGTTGTGATAATAACTACTACTCTTACCTTCTACAATTAAATCGCCTTTTGCAAGTGTAGATTTCGGGTTGTTATTATTATCTGCATACCGAACAGTGCACGTATAAGTTCCATTATCACCAACTTGTACTGTTCTAATTAGTAAACCATTTTGTAATATAGAAAAACGACTAGAGTTCGAGATTTGAATATTGCCATTGCGGTCCCATGATTTAGAATACTGGACACCGGCTGTTGCAGTAATTTGGCAGTCTAATAAAATATTTCGAGAATAAACTCGAACTCTTTTAACACCGAAACCAGTAGCTTGCACCGTTTGAGCCGCTAGATAGAAAATACCGTATATATAAGGTTAGATTAAATATATAGCAAAGTTTAGATAAATTCCCAAGCATAGTACCAAAAGTAAAATGTATAGACAAAGCTCTTAATTAAGAAATATTTGAAAAGCTAAAAATTTAAACAAGGCCCAAGATAGGTTTATGTAAATGATTCGAAAGATAACGAGTGTTCAGTTATAGTTATATTGGTCAATTTGTTATTTATCACCATTTAATCAAGAAGTTGAAGCCTGAAAATTTTCTAATATTAATTAAGCTATTACCCGATGCAAAATGTTAAGGACTTTAGTATAGTTTTAATCGTCAGATTTCTATAACATTGAAGATTTAACTATATCTATATAATATATAATTATTCTATTTAGACTGTTTAGTAAAGTAAGCATTTGCTGCTGTATAGTTTCAAGCTATAGAAAAATAAAATTGTTATCGTGATATCGTCGTAATCGAGTGTTTAAATGATCATATCTGTATCAGTTTACACATATCTGGCTACCGATATTTGTAGCTTAAAGATATACTCCTAATTGAATGAATTGCAATAATTTCTATAAATTAAATTGTTCCATTCGAAATATCTGGCTATCTACAGCAGGTATTTATAACTTGATGTTTGTGTAATTTAAACTTTTTCTATCGGCTGTCTGCTGGATCTGCCGTATTAGAATGATTATGACTAGTATCAAATTCTATAGCTCAAAATCATTTTGGATTTCATACAGGTAATTAGAGCATATAAACCTGTAGAAAAATAGTTATCGTGATAGCATAACTGTACATTCCAAAGAAATAGCATTAACACTCATTTCCTATACAGTATGAAGAACATCCCTAGCAATTAGTACTAATTTAGGAGACATTTACCCTTTGATGTCTGCTTTTAAAAATAAAGGAAGCGGATATGAAATAATTAAATTCCACAGCACGATACATGTATTATACGTTCGCATAATGGACATTTTCGAACATTTTTACCGAATTATAAATAAATAACATCGTTCTAGCTTATTACAATATTAATTACTATCGGAAAAAAATGTTGGTTACTCTATAATATTTAATTAAGACTATCGCTTCTATTTCAAGGTAAATCATAGCCTAAGCAAATTGTTGACTAGGATAAAATTTTTTCGCTTATTTAAATAGAGCATAGTAGCTGGGCAATGTGGGCATGAACTGTACTGTTAGTTTTGTTTTCTTTCTTATTAAAGATCATTTCATCTTTCTTTGTGATCATTTATCATAATGCACAACGTTTCATGTTAGCTTCTTAGATTACAGACATAAATAATGGCCTTAAACGTCTAGCCATTACAATAATATAACTATACTCTCAATATTGTCTATTCAATAAAAGTTCTACCTTTAATATTAACTATAACCTAATAATAAAAAAGGTATTCATAACTTCGTAATTAACCCCTGAACTTTATAATTTGTATTTATGTATAATTAGGATATTTTTTAATTGATGCTGAATTAGTGAAATCCTTCGAGGATATATGGAAAATTTAGAAATTTGAGCTGACATATAGCTTTAACTTAAAAATGACTTTAAAAATAGGATATGCAGAGGATTATACTGAAATTTTAAGGTATTGATGTGAAATTTCATACTGATCTTTTTGAGCATAATTCTAATAGCGATTGACAGAAAATCAAGCTTACTGTGTTTTATCACAAGACCAGGTATTATCGTCTAAAGAAATAATACGATCGTAGTTGGATTGTGAATGATAGCAGTCATGAACATGATTTAATGAGAGACAAAACATAACATTGAGAATTTTAATATGCAAGGTGCCAGACAGTCTGTCCATAATTAATCATTAATAATTTATAGAATCAATATCTTTAGCGATGAAAAATCATGGTATCGCTTGGAAATGTTACTTGAAATTAATATGTTAACTAATTTGTAATAACTGCTAGCCCCCTTATAAATAAAATGACGATATAGTGATATTATTGCTATCAACTAAATACTAAGAAACGTGTGTACATGTCATTATAACTTGTCGATAATAACGACAAAAACAGTTTAAGGCTGGCATATATGTACGGATTGTATTTCCTACGAGATCAGTAATACACGAACGAACGATAATGCTAAATTAGTTGAGCCATGCAGCACTAGCAATAGAATTAAACGCTGTTAGTTACAACATTTTAGTTTACAATGATCACTTAGAAGTAATCATTGTATGGTGAAAGCTATAATTGAAATTAAAAACCTTTTCAATCGATAATCTGTCTGTTACTATTGAATTCCAATATTTATGACTTATCCTAATGACTTTCACAAAGAGATGACTGTAAGTATACCAAAGTTGTTTGTTTACCTCCTATTCTATCTATCTAACCTGCTATCATTGATAATCAATCAACTGATCAAAAATGATGACGGTTACAGCTTATAATAAAATTTTAAAATAATTATCGATGTATTACAGTAGTAAAGTTTATTCCGATGATGATGACTTTTGTAAAATGAAACCAGTTAGTTTTCTATGCCTAAGATGAGGAGTAATACTATCGTATATAGGTCAATTCGATGGACTACCAGATTTCATTGTATGGGTAAAATTATTTATAATCATTATTATTATTTTCTAGCTAGGAAGCCTCCTGATCTTCTACCATTACGATGTAATTCTATCAGATCACGACAAATTAGATCGCCTGCCGGAATTCGTATTATTGTAACAGAAATTGATATCAAAATTCTTTTTAGCCTTTATGATTTCAAATTGAAGTTACTATTTAAAGCATTTTGGTAGTAATCTCATAATTAAATCATTCTATTAAATTGACTAAATCTGCTAGAGAGAGATGATATCAAAAAATCAGTCTTGTGGACTATAATATGGTATTTAGTGAGCTATTATGTCAGATGGTACTAAAATATTGAGGATTTGATTCCTATGATGACTAATGCTCTGACTTATTTACTTTATCATGAGCTCTACCTATGAAAAGCAGATTTAGTTACACTCTTCTAATAAAATGACAACAATCTAATTCATTTTACTGCATGGAATACCATGAGAACACTTTTGAAATCAATTACAATGTATCAAGACAAAAATTAATCTGTTATGATTACTGTACAATATAGAAGGATAATTTATCGTCCAACAGCTATGTTATAACGCCTATCTAATACAGTGAAAATTTAGTTTTATTTTTAACTTACAGTATATGGAATGTTTTAAGTAAACGATTTCGATTAGACTGTATTACTTCAGCTTTTAAAGTAAAGTGATATTGGCCTCTACTCTACGCGTATATACTGTAGAACAACTCGTTAATTTCATCGATGACTTTTTGGTGGAGAAATTTTAGCGTTTATTTTCGATAATGCTTCAAATAATGTCTTTTCGCCACATGGGGGGGCACTTGGATTTAATGATCATTTTAGCGCTGCTATATCAATCTCATGATCCATTATTGCATGGAAATAGAATTAATGACATCGAACGTAATTGCTTCAAATTAGAGTGGAAATAGGTTCATTTTGAGGGAAATTATAGGGCTCTTATCAATTGAAAGGTTACAATCTATCACTTTAGTGTATTGTACCGGCAGGTTAGTTTACTACAGGCTCAGTTAAGAGCGAAGTTTTGTTGAAATTTTGATGGAATTTGTTGATATACATACGGTAGTACTGTATACAATTTTGCTAATAATCGGTCACTTACATAACAAGACACAGTTGATAGCCAGCATTAATCCATTAATTAACACTATCTTGAAAGCATTTGTAATAATTTAAGGGGGAAAAAGTGGTATTTGATGATAAGCGTCATGATGCGATTAAAAACAACATTGTTTAAAAAACGTGGCTATCGCACAAATTCGTTCCTATCAATTTTGGTGGATACAATCATGTACAGTAGCGAGGTGATCATTAATTAATGATCATGTTGCAACACTTAGCATAGCATATGAGGTGATTATTTGGAAATGTGGGTAGACTGTTGTAGTTGAAGATAATTGAAATAAATGAAAAAAGTAACAAGACTTACCGACTAAATTGGATGTGGGTAATACCAGGCTAATGACCAAGAAGAGGAATATGATATAGCTTGAAGCGATCCTCTTGATTACTAAGGCCATGAAGTTGTTAAAAGACGATCTTTCACGTCGTAATAACACATACAATGATTGTCTTGATGATCGACATTAGCGAGCATTAACCATCATAAGAGGGAATAAAAAGAAATGATTACTATTCAATCAATGTATCATTAAAGTCAGTCGGAAAAGTGTCCAGTGCTATTCTACATTTGGTATAAAATCATTTGTTGAGGGATGAATTATTCTACTGAAGTGGAAAATATCTTACAAAGACTGATTAGCAAAATTTTCCATGACTAAATTATGTTCTCCTAGCCATAGGAGATGAATTTATCGATCGAAGTTGTAAATTGATATTTAGGAATACAATGTCATGATTGATTTGTATCATTACTGTAATGTCATTATCCTTTTTCTCTCTCTTGGTCATCGTTGTCATCATCTTACCTTATAAAAAATAGACAGTTATGGCATTAATCTTGTGGTTGAAAAGCATTGGATAGAGTCTTGGAAAGGATATCGAAGTGATTATACCATACTATGATTGAACTGAAAGTAAAATCATCAGGTAATCACCATATAACGGACATCACCAAGACCAATTGGCAAAGATGCCCACCACAACAATTTTAACGAGAGCGTCTTACTCCTAGCTACTACACCCTAATAAGGATAATAAGGATATTTTAATACTAGTTTCATTTCTCCTTGATTAACCGAGAATAAGACTATATAGCATGGTAGTTAAGTGAACAATAGCTATAGTTGATATCCCAGTCATAGCAAAATCAAGTATAATGATATACCTCCTTCAAAAATTGGAATAGGAAAGTGTTGAATGGATGATAATATTGGCAAGCAGGAAATCGATCGACGTATCGCCAGAAGAATATGAATAGAAAAAAATGGATAGGTTGTCAACTTTCCGACCGTTATAATAACGGTTTGTAGCTATTGTACCAAGATTCCAATTGTTCAGATTGCTTGAACTGACTCTTGGTGTATTGACTCTTTCCTTCTTTTAGCCTGGAAAGCCGATATTGCTCGTCTTTATGTTGATAAATTAGAGTCGGGTAATGCAATCAATTTTAATTTTGTTGTTGACTAATAGAAAAAGGATGAACAAAACATCAAAGCGATCAGCGACCTCGACTAAGCTCTCGTCTAGTGCTATCCGGGTAGTATCCAGTTTCCAATCGATTCTACCGTTAGTACCGTTACAACTGGTACGGTCTGGTACACATCTTCCGTTTTCGTCATGACGAGACATGAGTATTTCCGCTGATCGGTACCGTATCGTACAGCCTGAGTAAAAAAGATGTCACCCATAGCGATGCAGGCCAACTACAGTATGCAGTCCACAGTGTGCAGTACTGTACTTCATCATGATCAGACATGAGTATTTCCGCTGACCACTACTGTATCGTATAGCCTGAGTAAAAAAGATGTCACCCATAGCGATGTAGGTCAGCTACAGTACAGTACTCTACAGTACAGTATACTGTACAGTACAGTGTACAGTACAGTCCACTCTGTACGTACTGTACTGTACTGCAGGATTCGGACCAATGTCTACTGCACGATGAATGAATTTTATAAAATCGCCAATGATGATGATATGAGTCTGTCTACCATATAGCCCACTGACTGGTGTACAGTACTATGTCTGAAATAATCCATTATCCGCGATTGCCATCCAAATTAGCGGTTATATCACCACATTATAGTAGTGTAAACTGTACCAAAGTTTACTGTACAGTATAATTAATTTATAATTTAATTTATATAATTTATTCTGTCCAGTTTACAGTGTACAGTGTACCGTATAGCGTACTGTACAGTACAGTAGAGTAGCAAGTCAATCGCTACAGGTGACATC